CTGAGTCACTGCGGCAGAAACCATATGTCTCAGAAAGCCTAAATTCTTTATTCACTAGTCCTTTATATAAGAAAAATGTGCCAGTTCTTGAGCTAATGGAGTAACGGCTATTCCCTTCAGGTAAGGAACGAGTTCTTACAGTCTGTCAGTTCCACCCTGCTCGCTTCCTTCAGGTATGTTCCCTACTGTCCTGTGTACACGCTCAAGCTTATCGTTCCAAGCACAGAGAGGGATGAGAGATTAAAACCAAGCCTTGAGTGATTCATTTAATTGTTCAGAAAAGAAAGCTAAAAAGATACAACCAGAGAAGAGGCCATTCCAAACAGATTAAGGATTTAAAAGAAAAATTAGAGAACAAATATACTAGAACAGAAGCAAATATTTCCTTAATCTTGGAGAGAACTATTTCTTTTGAAGTTTATTATTTCTTTTGAGAGAGAACGAGCAAGCATGGGAGAGGCAGAGAGAGAGGGGGAGAGAGAGGAACTCAGGCAGGCTCCAGACTGTCAGCACAGAGCCTAACACATGCGGATCGAACTCACAAATTGCAAGATCATGACCTGAGTCAAAATCAAGAGCTAGATTGATTTTAAAGTTTTAAAAAATGTTTTTATTTATTTTTGAGAAAGAGAGAAAGAGAGAGACAGAGCATGAGCAGGGGAGGGACAGAGAGAGACGGAGACAAAGAATCTGAAGCAGGCTCTAGGCTCTGAGCTGTCAGCAGAGAGCCCGATGTGGGGTTCGATCTTGTGAATCGTGAGATCATGACCAGAGCTCAAGTCGGACGCTTAACCAACTGAGCCACCCAAGCGCCCTGGAGACAGATATTTCCAAGCACAAGTCAAAAACTGGAAAATTTAGAAGCTTTTAATACATTAAATTTGTACATTAAAAAGCACAGCAGAACTGAAGAACAAAACCTAGAAAAAACATCTGATGAGAAATAAATGCTCATGTATGAAGAGTTCTTGTAGCTCATTTAGAAAATGGCAAGATGTCCCATAAAGAAAGGGAGAAGGGGGGCGCCTGGGTGGCTCAGTCGGTTAAGCGTTCGACTTTCGCCTAGGTCATGATCTTGTGGTTCGTGGGTTCGAGCCCCGCGTCGGGCTCTGTGCTGACTGCCAGCTCAGAGCCTGGAGCCTGTTTCAGTCTGTGACTCCCTCTCTCTCTGACCCTCCCCTGTTCACGCTGTCTCTCTCTCTCTCCTAGAAATAAGTAAAAATATTAGAAAAAAAACGAAAGGGAGAAGGGTTATAAATAAGCAAGTCTCAAGAAATGACAGGCCCACATGGGGGAAAAGATGAATCTATAGTCACAGGGGAAGATTTTAGAACTTTCTGTATTCCAAAGAACAAGATGATTTAAAAAAGAATATTAAGGCAAGATTTCCTTTTAGAGACAAACTATAAAGTAAAATTAAAATAATTACTGTTTTAACTAAAACATGTTACAGCACAGAAAGACAAGTAAAACCAGAGAGCCCAGAAACAGACCTAAGTATATATGGGATGAGACAAATCTGTGACAAAATATAGACTTTTCAATAAATGACGCTGAATTATCAGTTTTAAACATGGAAAAAGATAAAAGTAGTTCCTTATTCGCACAATATGCAAACTCCCCAAGAGTATTTACCTGTAAGATAAAACTTGAACATTTTCAAATAAAGTAGAGATTATCTTCCTGGCATTGGAATAAGGAATACAATTCAGAAAAAGGATAACGTATATTATTAAAAAAAATTTTTTTACATTTATTTATTTAAAAAAAATTTTTTTTTAATGTTTTATTTATTTCCAGGAGAGAGAGAGAGAGAGAGAGACAGCGTGAGCAGGGGAGGGTCAGAGAGAGAAGGAGTCACAGACGGAAACAGGCTCCAGGCTCTGAGCTGGCAGTCAGCACAGAGCCCGACGCGGGGCTCGAACCCACGAACCGCGAGATCATGACCGAAACGAAAGTCGGACGCTTAACCGACTAAGCCACCCAGGCGCCCCTACATTTATTTATTTTTGAGAGACAGAGAGAGACAGATTACAAGTGGGGGAGGGACAAAGAGAGAAGGAGACACAGAATAAGAAGCAGGCTCCAGGTTCCGAGCTGTTAGTACAGAGCCTGATGTGGGGCTCGAACTCACAAAACATGAAATCGTGACCTGAGCTGAAGTTGGATGCTTAACCAACAGAGCCACCCAGGTGCCCCAGCATAATGTATGTTGAAAAAAAAAAAAAAAAAGATAGGGGTACCTGGGCGGGTCAGTTGGTTAAGTGTTCTGACCACTCGATTTTGCCTTAGGTCATGATACCATCGTTTGTGAGTTCGAGCTCTGTGGCTGAGCACGGAGCCTGCTCGGGATTCCCTCTCTCTCTGGCCCCCCTTCCTCTCTCTCAAAATAAATAAAAAAAGATAAATCTGGGGGCGCCTGGGTGGCTTAGTCGGTTAAGCGTCCGACTTTCACTTAGGTCATGATCTCGCAGTTCGTGGGTTTGAGCCCCACATCGGGCTCTGTGCTGACTGCCAGCTCGGAGCCTGGAGCCTGTTTCAGTCTGTGACTCCCTCTCTTCTCTGACCCTCCCCTGCTCGCGCTGTCTCTCTCTCTCTCTCTCCTAGAAATAAATAAAACATTTAAAAAAAAAAAATTAAAAAAAAAAGATAAATCTGTTAACATTAAAATTAAAAAGTTCTGCATGCAATGACACCATAAAATAGAATAATCCACAGATCAAAAGAACCAGTATTTTTTTCCCACTGATTTGTAATGGTACCTGTCATATAAATTAGTATCTAAAATATATAAAGAACTCCAACACATCAAGAAAAAGATGTGAATGGCCCAATTAAAAAAAAAGGGAAAGAATACAAACAGGTAATGTACAAAAGAGGAAGCCTGAATAGCCAATGAAACATCCGAATTTCTAAAACTCATAATGAGAGAAACACAAATTAAAAACCATGAAATTTCATTTCACACCCATCAGCCTAACACGAATTACTGAATATGATAGCATCAACTGTTGGCCCGGATGGGGGTAGGATCCTGGCTGTTCCTAACAAAGCCAAACGTGTGATACTTGAAGATCCAGTAATTCTTATTCTGGTTATATACTGAAACCAACTCTCAAGATGAATGTAAAGAGCAAATAAAAGGATGATCGCTGCAACTCTCTTATCAACAGCAGAGAAACTAAAATAAACTGTTTAGTTCACTTACACAATGAACTTCCTCCACAGCAGTTAAAATAAGCACAATTCATATGTATTAACATAGCTACTATTCAAAATACAATGTGAAGCTTTAAAAAATTGGATTACAAAATAAAAAGTATAACATAATACTATGCATACATAATTTAAAAAAAAATTTTATTTTAGAGAGAGAGCATGAGCGCCAGAGAGGGGCACAGGAAGAGAGAGAGAAAAAACACTCAACAGAGCCTGACACAGGGCTCGATCCCACAACCATGGGGTCGTGACCTGAGCCAAAATCAAGACTGAGACGTTCAACTGACTAAGCCACCAGGCGCCCCTGCAGAAGCGCTTTCTGACACGTGCATACGTGTACACGTGAGTACACACACACACACATTAGAATGATTTACTGCAACTAGTTACTTTTAGGGAGCAAGCAAATAAAAGGACTTTAACTAAATCTATACCATTTTTTATTTCTTCAAAAGATATCACACACCTGTAAGAATGGTTTAAATGAAGCAGACAGACAACATTAAGTGCTGATGGGGACGTGGAGCAACTCATACTCACCCACTCTGCAGTGGGAGGGTAACTGTAACTAAGACCATGACTTTGGAAGCCTATTTGGCGCTATCTACCAAAAGGAAACATGCACTGGCCCCAGGATCCAACACTTCTACCCGCGTATTTATCCAAAAGAAATGCAGATACAGGCATCCCTTGTTTTATTCCATTCCACTCAACTGTCCTTTGCAGGTACTGCATTATTTTATTTTATTTTTTTTTTACAGATGGAAGGTTTGTAGCAACCCTGCATCAAGCAAGCGTATCAACCCCATTTTCCCAACAGCATTTGCCCACTTCGTGCCTCTGCGTCACATTGTGGTCATTCTTGTGGTATTTCAAACTTTTTCATTATTATTGTGTTTGTTATGGCGATCTGTGGTCAGTGATTACGACTTGCTGAAAGCTTGTATGACGGCATTTTAAGACAGTATTTTTAAATTAAGGTATGTGCATTTTTTTTAAAGACATTAACGCTATTGTATACTGTAGCGTAATATAAACAGAGCTTCTGTAAGCAACGGGAAGCTGAAAAATTCATTTGACTTCCTGTATTGCAACACTTGGCTTTACTCTCCAAAGGATGCCTGTATGTGTTCGTCAGAAGAATATACAGGGCAGCCCTCCCCTCTTCATTCAGCCCCCGCCTGGGAACTACCCACATGCCCATCTCAAGAGAACGGATAAGCTGGCAATACCGACACAATGAAAGATGGCACAATAAAGAGAATGAACTACAACTACGTGCAGGAACATGGATGTATTTCACGGTCACGTTCAGGAAGTCAGACATCAGTTTTATTTACAAAACTGTGTAAATAAAGTTTAAGAACAGTTGAAACTAGCCTATGGTGTTAGACCATGGAATAAAGTCAGTGTTGGAAGGAATGAAGGGACGAAGGTGCTTCTGGACTGGTGAGCTTGTTTCTCAATCTGGGTACTAGTTACATGAATGTGTTCATTTGTGAAAATTCAGAGAACTGTACAGTTGGGGTATTTTTATCCTACATTGCAAAATAAAGAACAAAGGCAGCAAAATATTGGCATGTGTTTGACAGTGAACACGTGTGTTACTTTATTTTCTCAACTTGTATATTACTTAAAAAGCTGTATAATTTAAAATAAGATATTTAGAAAAGAAGAGCACGTAGGTATTTCTAATATTCTTTCATAAGCACTGAAAAGCGTCACCTTCACACTGTCCTGTGGCACTACTGTTTCTGTAGACTCGCACGTGTCTGACTCACCTGAACAGCTGCTTTTGGGAGCTTTTCTCTCAAGCATCAGAGGTTCTTTCCCGTTCTCCAAACTGTAGTTCTCAGGCTTGGAAACTGGAAGCCCTGCTCATTTAAAACAAACAAACAAACAAAGAAAATAACAACAACAAGAAACAGAACTTAACTATTTGTGATGGGCACAAAGGTCTATTCTAAAAAAAAGGGTTTTTTTGGGGCGCCTGGGTGGCTTAGTCGGTTAAGCGTCCGACTTTCGCTTGGGTCATGATCTCGCGGTTCGTGGGTTCAAGCCCCGCGTCGGGCTCTGTGCTGACTGCCAGCTCAGAGCCTGAAGCCTGTTTCAGTCTGTGACTCCCTCTCTCTCTGACCCTCCCCTGCTCACGCTGTCTCTCTCTCTCTCTCCTAGAAATAAATAAAAATATTAAAAAAAAAAAAAGAGTTTTTTAAAATGTTTTATTTATTTCTGAGAGACAGAGACAGCATGAGCAGGGGAGGGTCAGAGAGAGAGGGAGACACAGAATCTGAAACAGGCTCCAGGCTCTGAGCTGTCAGCACAGAGCCCGATGAGGGGCTGGAACCCACGAACCGTGAGATCATTACCTGAGCCAAAGTCGGACGCTTAACCGACTGAGCCACCCAGGTGCCCCTCAAAGGTCTATTCTAGAACACAGTCCCATGATCTACAAAGGCTAGAGGAGACCGGATATTATGGGGAGCCGGAAATAAGGGAGGATGGATCTCTGAGTGGAGCTCCAAATATCTACAGCCAAGTCTGGGTCTGGCAAGGAGTGTATCTGCCTTGGAAACGCCAAATGTTTCTGCCTGTCAAAAAGAAGAGACTCTCTCAGGGCACCTGGCTGGCTCAAGTCGGTAGAGCACGTGACTCCTGATCTCCGGGTCATGAGTTCAAGCCCCACATTGGGTGTAGAGCTTACTTAAAAAAATAAGACAATTTGTCTTTATTTCCCTGTTGAGGAAGTTCAAGAGTCCTTAACTTAGGGAGGTAGAGAAAGTGGGATGTCAGGGGAAGTAGAGAAAGTGGGATGTCAGGGGCAGCACAGAAAGTTGTGCCCCGTGGTGACTAGAGTTTTTGTCTCGGTTCTAATGGTTTTCACCTTTCTTCCTTCTTCATTTACCAGAACCCACCTTCTTAGGGAATTTATTACATAAGCACAAAATTCAAGGTAGGAAGTATTAAATTAGAAAATGATGGCCACAAACTAAGGGTACAAATATAACTTCTAAATGTTTATGTGTAAATATCACTGGGGAAAGACACCATAGTTCCGTCTACCCCCGAATGAACACATACATGTGCGTGTACCTGCTTGCACATGCCCACACCCACACACCCCCCACGGAGGTGAGCACAAGCTCTACACTGGCCACAGAGAATTCTCTCTCTCTAAACGAAAGCATTATGCCACCTTAGAGCTGCCAATGGCCATCTTTGCCACATGGGGAGATCCTAAGAATGAAGCTAACACAGGGAAAGCCAGGCCATGTGATTAAAAAAATAAAGGAGATTTCTGATAATGTATATGATTCCCTAAATCAAGATTCTTATCCCCTTTAAGCTACTGTGAAATAGTGTCATTCGAATCCAACGAATTTTGAGATAAGACAGGCACAGACATTTCCCCAACAGCCTAAGGCAGAAACAGGGCCCAAAGGGATCAATATTTTATGATTTCTGAATGCAAAAGCGAAGGCTTTGTTAGGCTATTTCACTTTCAGTAAAGTAACGATGTCCCCGTAAGCAGCAGATTCGAGTCACAGTGAGAGCCCATCCTTACAGAGCGACACCAGGTTCCGGTAGTTCTCCAGCATCACCTCCCTCTGTGCAGGATCCAGGTTCCCCCACTCCTCTGGGGTAAAGTCCATGGCCACATCCTTGAATGTCACTGATGCCTAAGACACAAACATACTTTTGTTCACCGCCTTTCACTCAACAGGCTCAATTTCACCCCCCAATTTCCGCTGGCCCTAGAGTAGATATGTAAAAATACATGCACGAGGGGAAATGGTTGTGATAAATGACAAGCCTTGTCGTGTATTCAGATTCGGAATACTCCAAAGTCACCGGGTATCGATTATGTCCCGGATTCATTATGAGACCCAAAAGAAGTTAAGACCATGGTTTTTCCATTGAAACTATAGTTTTTCTGAGGAATAAAGGGTTCAGACATGAACCAATGAGTCAACAGTGCAATTTGGCAAAGTAAACAAAAAACAGCAGAGGAAAAATTACGCAGGTCTGCATCATTCTCCTTGTGAGTCCTCAATAAAAACTTAAAGGATCAATTTAGCCAATCAGAAGATGAATTGAAATGCAGAACTTGGAAAGGAAGAAGTTATGGAATGAAAAGATTGGCGGCGGGCACCAAATCCAGGTAGGCATGGAATACAAGGCAAAAAGCACTAAATTGGAAACTAACAGCAACAAATTAATTCAAGGTACAGATATAACTTATAAATGTTCATGTGTAATTATCATGGGATTAAATTTATGTAACACAAAATACATAAAAGCTGTAACAAATTATAAAAAATGAGATAAATGTTAACTTTCGGAGAATCTGAATGGAGAGTATATGAAAACTCTTTTTACAACATTTTATTAAGTCTAAGATTATTTCAAAACAGCGTTTCCAAAGTGGAAATAACCAGAGATTTAAATAACAAGAATAAAAAAATAACAGGAATCATCTTTGAAAAATAACACAAACTATAAAAATCATTAAGTAGCCACTAAGTAGACAAGATATTATGAATAAAAAATAGCCTTGATCCTATAATCTGCATATCTATAGCTGAAATGACACTCAATAGGAATTAATTTCCAGACCATTAGAAGAAAAAAAACTGAACAAAAATGCAATCTATTGCACAAAAGACAAGAAACAATGCAAAAGAAATAAAGCACAGCAAAGAGAATTATAAAAATCACGTGGTAAGAAAAATTTGAAACATAACAAGTAATTAATATGAATTCATTTACCTCCTAAAAAGGTTTTTGTTTATTTACTTATTTTTTTAATATTTTATTTATTTCTAGGAGAGAGAGACAAAGACAGCGTGAGCGGGGGATGGTCAGAGAGAGAGGGAGTCACAGACTCTGAAACAGGCTCCAGGCTCTGAGCTGGCAGTCAGCACAGAGGCCGACGCGGGGCTCGAATCCATGAACCGCAAGATCATGACCTAAGCGAAAGTCGGACGCTTAACCAACTAAGCCACCCAGGCGCCCCAAGGCTTTTAGTTTTTAATTAAAAAATTTTTTTTAGCATTTATTTATTATTGAGAGACAGAGACAGAGTGGGAGCAGGGGAGGAGCAGAAAGGGGGAGACACAGAACCTGAAGCAGGCTCCAGGCTCTGAGCTGTCAGCACAGAGCCCCATGGGGGGCTTGAACTCATAAACCACGAGATCATGACCTGACCCAAAGACGCTTAACTGACTGAGCCACTCAGGCTCTTTTTTTTTTTCTTTCTTTTTTTTTTTTTTAAGCCACATCCTATTTACAGAAAGGACACTCAAAAAAAAATCCCAAAGTTGGGATGAGATGGAAGTGAAAGGAAATATACAACACACTGTTATCCTCAGTAGGGAGAGGTGGGGGACTGAATCTGGGGAGGTAATATTATCTTTATCTTTATATATGTCTGTGCTGTTCACCTGGTTACAGGGAGCAAGAATTTGAACTTTAGTATTTTTATTTATTTAAAAAAAATTTTTTTTTCCAGTGTTTTATTTATTTCTAGGAGAGAGAGACAGCGTGAGCAGGGAAGGGTCAGAGAGAGAGGGAGACACAGAATCTGAAACAGGCTCCAGACTCTGAGCTAGCTGAGAGCACAGAGCCCGATGCGGGGCTCGAACCCACGAACCGTGAGATCATGACCTAAGCGAAAGTCAGACGCTTAACCAACTAAGCCACCCAGGCGCCCCAACTTTAGTATTTTTAATAATCTAATATGTTAAAGATAAAAAATAGCCCAGGAAAATTCTAGTAAGAAAGATAGCCACAAAGTTAGCATTAAACAAGATCTCATGCATTGCAAGAGACAGCTTTTTAAAAATTTCCATGAAAGGTTTAATCCACCGGAAGCTGTAACAGTCCTGAATCCATTATCAAAGTGTTGAAATATATAAAGCATTCACCCTTCCTCTGGTACCTATACCCTGATTTTCCTCTGGCCCCTAGGCTTGCCTACTTTCAATATAGTTCAGATGGTACTAACTCCATACCTGACTCATGGGTGGGACGTGTGTTTATACTCTATTCCCTAGGTCTGACCAATTAGAAAATTACCACCATATCTGCCCAATAAGGATGCCAGAATGCGCTTAATGCCCATTAAAGAGTTAATTCCAGGACTTGGGCTGGAAGGAGTGGGAGAGAAAATTCCTTTTTTTCTCTGGTCTTCAATGTGGGAAGACGTAAGCTTACCTATGTTAGGAGCCAGCATTAGGGAAAAAAAAGCCTGCTTGACAGCTATACCCAATAAGAGGAAGAAAAAAGGTCAGTGAAATGGATAGAGTAGGTTCTAATAATACGGTTTGGATTCTATTTCTACCACACTTGGATGTTCCACTTACGGTAGTCAAGAACTCTTTCTGCTGAAGCCAATTTGAGTTTTCATGAGCTGCAACTTAAATATTCTTCACTAAAACAGGCTTTGGAGAAACCAACGGAGACAAGCGAGTATATAAGGATGCCGAGAAGGGGTGCCTGGCTGGCTCAAAAAGTTAAGAGACTAACAATACACTGTTTGCCCACATCGTCCAACCACCACTCAAATTCAACAATTCTTAATATTTTCCCTTGGGAAGGGGGGCGGATTGGAAAGTAAGCTGTAGACATAACACTTCACCTCTAAAACACTTCAGCATTCACCAGTTTGGAGGGCTGGATTCTAACTCATTAAATTAAGCCTTACGGGGGTGCCTGGGTGGCTCCGACCGATGAGCAACCGACTCCGACTCAGGTCATGATCTCCCGGTTTGTGGCCCGCGTGGGGGCTTTGTGCTGACAGCTCGGAGCCTGGAGCCTGCTTCAGATTTTGTCTCCCTCTCTCTCTGCCCCTCCCTCCTTCCTCTCTCTCAAATATAAATAAACATTTAAAAATAAAATAAGCTTCCTAAGTTACCAAGCACAGAAATGAGCATAAATGGTCAAAAGAAGGGCAACGTTCCTTCTATGCCTGTTGAATGACAATAAATACTACACAGGGAATGTACTATGGGTAAATAGAAAACATTTTCTACTGAGTGCATTAGATACCCAAGCAGTCTCTTAGAACTGGAACCTAGCTCTCTATACGAGTTCTAGGAGACAACGAAAGTCCACACTAAAAACAAAGGAGTACATCTGTACTGAGAAATGAAGTGGCATTTTCAATAATCAGTAGGGACTTCCACTTACCTGGGATCTAGCTGTGAGGCGCAAAGCTGCCACTTCCCCCTCTTCTGTGCTCTGCCCTTCGGAAAGGGGAGAATCCTGGGTAGACAGGGCTAAGGGCAAGAAAGTAACGATGGGGCCTACATCCATCTTGAGGCTCAGATTTGCAAGTCTAAAATCCTCCCCCGCCCCCAAACTAATGACCCTCCCTGCAAAGATCTAACAAAAGAGAGCCCCAAGCAACCCAGGATCCCAGCATCATGGGGAATGTCCGGAAGTACTGCCACAATTATAACACATTCTGGAAGATGGCACTCTCTGATCTAGAAATTAAAATAACTCCGTTTGATCCCCGAGCTGAACGTCCCTATCAGAAAAACAGGCTCAACGGTTTTCAAAAAACATCCTGCCAAGTTTCTTTACAACCGTAGGCTGCTGTGTCCCATCTCCAAATAATTATCATTAGTTGAGTCTGCGGTGCGATCTAGAAATCTAACAAGCACCCGGGATCTAACTCTTATGTAGGAGGCCAAACTTCAACAAAGGCTGCGTGAGCAGTACTGGAAGTCAGTCACAGATTTCCAGGCCTGTTTTCTCCTGTGTAACACAAAAATCATTTGCTTATTGAAATCATAGGGCTGTTGTCCAGACAAAAAGGCATAAAAGGTGTGGAAGATACTTTTGCCAAGCAAAAAGCTACATTCTCAGACCGATGATTGAAGCGAGGATGGCATAATCATCTGGGAGGAAGAAAGTGGGAGAAAAAGTCATCGAGGCTATGCTCACAACTCAGAAGCTAACATTCCGCTCGGACTTTGAGGGTGGCTTTGAAGGGTCCATTGGGCGCCCAGTTGGAGATGAAAGGGGGATGGATCCCACACCAAGCTCTCCATGCTCACTCGAGGAGCCCATCCGTCCCCCCAGACAAAGGAGACGGACAGCACTCTCCACCAAGGGCCACCTCCTGCGAGGCAACCGATTTCCCTTCAGGAGGAAGGAATCTGGCCCTTGCACAACACAAGTTCAATACTTCTGCAACTCTCACCTCTCTTCGCGTGCACATCGGTCTCCATGATCACCACCTGCTCCCGGTTCCGACTATTCCGATGTCCCCCCGCCAGTTCAGACTCCTCCGGGCCGAACAGTGAGAAGCCCCCGCGGCCTCGGCGGCCTCCCCCCTGCCTTCCCTCGGGGGGCTGCGCTGAACGGCTTCGATCAGGTCGGGTCGGGGTTCTTCCTCACTCCGGAGCCTGGCTCGGTCCTGCGAGGCTGGAACCTGGAAACCCGGGGACAGCATCCCTGAGGCTGGGTGCCAGGCGCCTGTCCCTGCGGCTGGCAGCCGTCCCTGGGGGCACCGAGCGGCCGCACGGGACCTGTAGAGGCAGCAGGCGCGCAGACAAACCCCGCAGCGCTCCGGGCGCTCCCCGAAGCCCCGCGACTGCCCCGCGCCCCGCCCGTCGCGCCCCCGCCCGCACCGCGCTCGCAGCCGCGTCCCGGGGAGGCGGCACCGCGGGAGGGACTCGGGCCGGAGCGCGGAGGGATGGGGCTCGTGGTCCTCCCTCGAGGCCCCTTCCACAAACGCGCACTCCAGCCCCGACTCGGCGGGAACGGATGCCCCAGGGGCCACCACCTCGGCTGCGCGGAGAAGAGCGGCACGGCAGCGTCCAACTCACCTCCCATCCCGGGCCTGACAAAGGCTACGAACTTCTTGGGCCAGCTCGGAGTCGCGCATGCGTAAGAAGGAGCGGGGCAAGGCTGGCAGGCCTCAGCCAGCCCCGGAACTACGAATCCCAGAAGCCCCTGGGCGTTGCCGGACTCCCGTTTCTCAGCAGGTGGGAGCACACGTGGCGCGGTTGGGAGACTCGAAGGAGCTGTGGTCTCCTTCCCTCTCGCGAGAGTATCGGGCCGCGTCGCTTGTGTCGGATTCCCCGGAGGGAGAGCGCGAACGCCAGAGAGACGGAACCGAGTCCGCCTGTACCTCTCGCTTTGTCTCTTCGTGGGGCTGCAGCGCAGCGCTTGGGGCTGCTGAGGAATTCAACGCTAATGCCTCAACTCTCATATGACTTGACCGCATATGGCTTCTCCATGTTTTTGTCTTCCCCAAACTCCTCTCTTCCCTTCTGTATTTTGGGGAACAGCGGGTTGTATACCCAAACATGATCGTGCATCCATAGACGACTTGTAATACAGAGAATTAACTTGTGTGAGATAGGTGAGTTGAAGAGACTCAGCCAGTTTCAACACACTGGAGCGACAGATTCTTTGCAGCCGTGACAGCTTAAATTTATCAAAAGAGGTTGTTTGCTCAAAGGAGCATGCCTTTGATTGTATTCTTTCACTAACCTACCCTCCCCCCCCAAACTCTAAAACGTCTAAACTGCCCTTCCTCTTCTCGGTGGATGATTTTTTTTTTTTAATGTTTTTTATTTATTTCTAGGAGAGAGAAAGACAGCGTGAGCAGGGGAGGGTCAGAGAGAGAGGGAGACACAGACTCTGAAACAGGCTCCAGGGTCTGAGCTGGCAGTCAGCACAGAGCCCGACGCGGGGCTCGAACCCACGAACCGCGAGATCATGACCTAAGCGANAACAGGCTCCAGGGTCTGAGCTGGCAGTCAGCACAGAGCCCGACGCGGGGCTCGAACCCACGAACCGCGAGATCATGACCTAAGCGAAAGTCGGACGCTTAACCGACTAAGCCACCCAGGCGCCCCTCTCGGTGGATGATTTTCACCGCCCACAAACCCCTTTGCAAAAGCCAGAACCTGAATATCCTCAACTCATCTTTTTCACGGTCTATCTCCCAAGTCCCTACCTCAAGTTTTCTTTCCCACCAGTGTGTTCTCCACACTTTCTGCTCCGTGACCATTCTAAAGCAAGACTATAACGTGACTTTACTGCTAAAATCTTTTGAAGTGGCTTTCAAAAACTCTGGGGGAAAATGATGTCCCCACCAGAAAGCTCCCCTTCTCTGGCTCCCGTTATGTGATGTAGCTCCCATTATTCACACTCTTGTGTAATCCTGTCTTGAGTGTGGGTAGGACCTGTGACCCACTGTTAAACAATTGAACCCAACAAAGGTGACATGATTCTAATGCTTCTTGCTAGGAGACTGTGCTGGCTTTGATGTAGCAAGGGTTGATGTTGGGGGGACCCACATGACAAGGAACTGTGGATGGCCAGCAAGGACCCAAACCCTGTCAACAACCCCCTGATGCTTGGAAGTGGATCATTTCTGGGAGAGTCTTTACCTGAGAATCCAGCCCTGGCTGACACCTTAATAGCTAGCTGCAGAGGACCCAGTTAAACTGTGCTCAGACCTCACCCACAGACACTATGAGATAGTAAATATATGCTGTTTTGAGCCACTAAGTGTATAGTAACATTGTCATCCAAAGAAAAGGTAACTAATACAGCATCCTAATCTAAACGGCTGGCTCCTTTCCCCAAACCCAACCTGGGTATCCTGTGGAAGGAGGGAGGTTGTTGGATTGAGAAGCTATTGAAAAATTGATTGGAAACCCTCTGGAAGACTAATGGCTACAGTTGATTCTAGGGTATGTGTGTGTTGGGGGGTGGGGATGGAATGGCGGCAGCAGTGGAAGACAGATGCCACAGGGAGACTGCAGGTAGGTGCTATAGGGAGTGGGGCTGCTTTTTAGTTTTCCTGCTTCTTTCCATCTACTCTCATGTTGAGCTGGGTAATTACATTGCACAGGGTAGCCTTAGAGCTGGGCTGGGCGGAGAGTGGATACTGATAGATGCAAGCATATTCACCTCAAAGGATTTTATTCAGCATTCTCCCACCCCAACACACACACATGTGCGCGCGCGCGCACACACACACACACACACACACACACACACACACACACACAGTGAGCCAGGTGATTATTGCAAAAAAAAGAGGTAGAGATAGAGAGGTTCTCTGATGGATAAGATAATCTGGCAGGAAGAGGGTGGTATGTGGCAAGTATTATCACCCAAATGTTAATGCAGTAGATTCTCTGCTTTAAAAATAAGTCAAATCCCCTTAAGTGCCCCCTTGCCCTATCCACATACAAACATATTATCTACAGTTGTGCCCTTCCTGGTGAGTTGAAGAAGATAAAGAAAACACTCCAGGGCTTGGTTCCCTTCCCTCCCTATCATTACTGGCTTGTAACCTGGACCTGGAGAGTATGGGCCCACAGGGGGAAAAAAAGATACCTGAAGAATTTTATTGCTATAAAAAGAAAATAAACTGAACAATTTATAACATATAAAGCAGAAATTAAGAATTGGATGCTTAACTTACTGAGCCACCCAGGCATCCCAATAAGCAGCAATTTTAATAAGCAAAGGAGCTTAGGGGCGCCTGGGTGGCTTAGTCGGTTAAGCGTCTGACTTTCGCTTGGGTCATGATCTTGCGGTTCGTGGGTTCAAGCCCCGCGTCGGCCTCTGTGCTGACTGCCAGCTCAGAGCCTGGAGCCTATTTCACAGTCTGTGTCTTCCTCTCTCTCTGACCCTCCCCTGCTCATGCTGTCTCTCTCTCTCTCCTAGAAATAAATAAAAATATTTTTTAAAAAAATAAGCAAAGGAGCTTATATACCAGCTTGTCTTGAGCGCTGCACCCACCCACCAGAATCTTTAAAGTTTATAAAAAGGCCTTAACTGGGTTCAGCCACATATTCAGTCCACATGGTCTCAATAACACATTACTCTCTCAAGGCTGCCTCCCCAAAATGACCCTTACTGTGGCAATGGTGGGCAGAATATATATTTCCAAAGACAAGGGAGAGGGGCGAGGAGGCTCCCATTGTTTGGGTCTAGCTCATAGGATGACTGGAAGTCACTCTTGATGACCTCTTCCACCATAAATAACAGGAAACTCTAAAAGCTCCCAGAGATAAAACAGATCACCTACAAAACATAGTTCAATGCTAAATTCCCAGTGTGAAAAACAGTGCCTGAAATTGTGTGGTCCTTCAATAAATAGTAATTGCGTAAAAATAAATCTGATTGTTCAATAGTAGTACTGACTGGAGAAGAAAGTGTAATGGTGTTTTCAAATTGTAAAAGATAAAACTTTGAATTTTAATTAAGTGTCATGTAATTGAGGCAAAATAAAGATACTCTTATGCACAGAAGACCTTGAAAATATTCTTGGATGAATTATTTCTGCAATAAGAAAAAATTCAAGAAGATGCTTCAAGATATAAAGAAAGGGAAAGGATATTTAGTAAAGAGTTTATCATTGTCTTAACCAAGGAACAGAGGTAGTCAGACAGAGTGACACCAACTACATGTATATAACAATCCAGGACTATAATTTTAATACCATTGGGGATGAGGATGGGAAGTAGAAAAGCGAAAGTGAGGTAACTAAGTTACCTTCCTTGATTAGAGGGACCATATACATATTCACAAGCTTAATAAATGAATGGAGATGGGGGAAGAAACATAGGTGTGGGTTTTAATAAGTTAGGTGCAAGTACCATGAGAATAAAAGTAGATGTAACATTCAAACCAGAAGAAAAGAATTTATTATTTAATGGAAACCCAACAAGAGGAAAACAAGAAACAACAATAAAGTCTGATCAAGGGAAAGCATAGAATAAGACTTGTTAGTTTATCACAATAAATGTAAATGAGTCAAACCCATTCATCAAAAGGTAGAGGATCTCTGAATTAAAAACAAATGAAACAAAAAAACAAACAAAACTAACATGACTCCCAAGGTGGAACAGTATGAGTTTTTGTTTTTTTTACAAAAGATATATTGGAAACTAAAAAACAGAGAAGTATTAAAAGCAAAGTGATGACAAAGGATATACCAGGCAAATAATTAAAAGAATACCTAGATAAAATGTTATTATTAATAAAATTAGATTCAAGATAAAAACATCATAATGGACAAAAGAAGACCTTCTATACTTGTAAAACTCATGAGAAGTATAATCTATTGTATTGGCCTATATTTCTGCTCTTTCATTGTTCTTCTTTTCTGATGCTCCTGGGACCTTTTTTTATCATGTCTTTTTTTGTTTGTTTGTTATTGTTGGTGCTGTTGTTAGAAATTCTCTTAGCCATCTTTAAAAGACCATCCCTAAAGGGTAGGTCTGCTAAGTGACAAATTCTTTTTGTTACCATTCATCTGAGAATATCTGGAATGCCTCTTCATCACTAAAGGATAGTTCCTTTGGCTATTCAATTCTTGGTTGGCAATTCTTCCCCTTCAAA